AGTGTTCCTCTGTATTAGCTGAAAGGTCAGCTAGGCGAGGGCCAGAAGCCTTTAATTTACCCTTTGATTTAGTCTTTTGATCATCAACACAAGCATTCAACTTCGAACATAGGTTTTTCAAGCATAGGTCATCAGTTACACCGACTTCAGCTGCCTTGCTATCTGCTGAAAAATATTTATCTTTAAAAGCTTTTGCACAAACACTTACGGTTGTGCGAAGCTAGAATTAACAGTTGGGATTTCTACTGATGCTGGCGGTGAACCAACATTGCCAGGTATAACACTTTTTGATTCTTCCAAGGGATTTACATCTGCATTTGAACAACCACTGCTTGCTGATAGCACCTGAAACGTGATGATGTTCCAGGTACATAATCATTATCTTTTTCAACAGAAGATGATTGGACAATAGCTGTACTTTGAAGAATCAGTTAATTTAAGTGTATCTACAGCATGAACCACCCCCTCTCTCACAAACATCTTGGAAAATGTTTCAGGAAGCTTTTCCATAAGAGTCTCTGCTATCTGAAGGGCAGGAATCAATACTTGTGGATCTTTCCACGCTAAAACACCAGCTAAGAAACTGGGAGACCAAACAATAGATAACCAAAAAATAAACTTCTTAAATATGCATGAAAAAAAAAATTGCAAACTGAATAATATTTACACGAAGAATAAATCAATGTAAGAAAGAGTAAAATAATGCAAGTACCTTGATATGTTTGTTACACTTAGTAAAGACTGAATCATATCTGCTAGCTGTGCTAAAATACATCAATTTTACAAACATTTGTGGCAAACCGGACCACTCATACTAGATCGATAGATCTGATCAGCAAAAGGGGAGTAAAATAATAAAAAGTATGAACTCTATTATCTATTTAATTGAAGGGACCGGTTAAAGCCTCTTAGCACAAAATAAAACCCTTGGAGCAACTAACCTGTATCAGAACAGGAAGAAGATACATTCCAAATTGCTGCAGGAGCTCAGGTCCAAATGGTTGGGGTCCGTTTAGGAGCAGTTTTGGTAACTGGTATCATCTTGGCTACCATATTCTGGCATGTAGACAACTCTCGGCATCCAAGAGCGACTGGGATTCTTTGCCTTCGCCATGTCGACGACATTCTACACCTGCGGAGAGGCGATGCCAGTGTTCCTGCATGAGCGATACATCTTCATGAGAGAGACAGCTTATAACGCATATCGTCCTCAATCTCAGTCTCTAGAAAAACAGGGGGAAGAAGGGATGGTCTTATCTACCGCTCTGAGGGGGGCGGTGACGATACGGAGGGAGAGAGAAAAACAGGGGATTAAGGGATGGAAAGAAAGAAAAATGGTGAGAAGAATGAGACTAATCTAAAGAGAGGATGGAAAGAATATCTGTCATGCAACAGGTATACGTACGAACTGTTTGAGACAAAAGAAAAAATGGTGAGAAGAACGAGACACACATTTGTGAGAGACGGAGAAACTGTTCAACTACAGTGTTGAACGCTAAAATTCCATTTAGCGAAAGGGGAGATACGCTTCTTGTGACCTGTTTAATGCTCTCTCAAAAATCGGTTCAACAAAAGCTTCGTCACCACCTCCAACAAGAGCACCGGTAAGTACTTTGTTAAATCTCTCTCTCTACAAAGGGAATAAGTCCCCCATCACGAATGCCAGAATGCCAGAGCCAAAAAGCCTCTGGTTTGTGTTTTGAAAACCCGGTATAGAGGTGTCAAAAACGCCGCATCCCGCATGTGCTCTACTTAGCCTCTCGTTAATCAAAGAAAACAAGGTTTCAATCGGTGCTTCCTAAGTGATCTCACCGTTGGTTTCTTTGCTCCTGAATGGATCAAATCGAGGGAAGAAAGACGCGCTCACAACGCTCTACAAGCTCTGTCTATGAAATAGAACAAAGAGAGGGGCATTAATGCAAGAGCTGTGAAACCGTTAGTGGACTTAATTTCAGAGTAGGGGAGCAGTTTGACAGAGAAGGCGATGGTAGTTCTGAGCATCTTAGCTACAAGTCAGGCAGGACATAAAAGAAAACGTCCAACAGGAAACCACGCTTTGGATGCCACAAACAAACCCCATTCAAAGCATACCCTACAAGATAACCATAAGAACCTATAGATCTCCCACTTTATCAAATAGAGACCACTAACAGAATCAACAACAAGCAAGGAATAGAAAATAAACTATGGCACAAGAAAGATCTAATAATGCGATAGATAGTAAATTAAAAAAAAAAAAATTGTAAATGGAAAGCTCAGGTTCAAGCTCCATTGGCAATACTTGGTAATGGAGTAATCTAGGCTTTTCGAATCTCCAAAACCAGCATACTTAGCTCAGGTTCAATCAATGCCTGCTAAGAATCTCACTGGAGCTGAGCCAGAGAGAGAGAGAGAGAGAGAGGAGATGAATCATGGTTAGATTTTGAGGAGGCTCGCTAACTAATAATTAGCTGTGATGTAGTGATTTTCTCAGTGGTTGTGCAGCTACAATTTCAGAGGGCAAAACCGCTTAGTCGAAGAAGGAGGAATTGCAGTTTTGGTTGGAGCGGTCGAAGATGGGTCGGTGAAAGGGAAAGAGTTCTCAATACCAACGCTTCTCCAACTATACGCGAGCAGTGTACGGAACAGAATGTTAGAGGCATAAAGCCTCTACTCAGCTTCTCATTAATTGAAGATAACAAGGTTTCAATTGGTTCTTCCGGAATGATCCCGCCGTTGGTTTCTTTGCTCCTGAATGGATCAAATCACAAACGATAGCTATTGCTCTGCAACACCGGCAAAAGAACAAGGGGCAGGGGGTCGATGGATGGTTGTGGGAGTCCGAAAATGATGAAGAGAAGGATAAAAGTGATGGTGGTGGAAATAGGGGTCAAAAAACTGGCGAGATGTACGTTGGAGGTGGGTGAGAACGTTGAGAAAGTACCGCCGCCACTGTGGCTTCTCTGTTGTCATTGAGAAAACGATGAACGATGGCTAGACGAAGGGAGAAAGAAGAATGTAAAGGAAGAGGGTGAGAAAGAGTGATAGATAGAATGGGAGGAATGAATGAGATTCTGTTAGCAAGGGCTAACGAGAAGGGAAGTATTAGTCAATTGTCAAAAACAGTAAGGATATACTTACTCAATTAGCTAAACTATAAGGATAGTTTAAGAAAAAATTATTCCAATTTCTTTAGATATCCCAACATTTCTTTTCACTTGCTTCGTATTCAGGCATTGGAGGCTATTGAGAAATTACAACAAAATGTTGATACTCTTATAGTGATTTCAAACGACCGTTTGTTGGATATTGCTGATGAACAGACACCCCTTCAGGATGCCTTTCTCCTGGCAGATGATGTTTTACGACGAGTACAGGGGATTTCCATCACCGTGAATGATTTGTGAAAAAAATGTCATCTTAAAGACTGTTCCTTGTCTATTCTGTATATGTTGGAAAGTTGTTTCCCTTATTTTGCAGATACCTGGACTGTTAATGTGGATTTTGCAGATGTCAAGGCAGTTATAAAAGAATCTGGAACTGCAATGCTTGGTGTAAGGGTTTCTTCCAGCAAGAACCGTGCAAAAGAAGCAGCTGAGCGAGGAATTTGGCTCCTTTGATTGGATCATCAATCCAATCCGCCACTGGAGTTGTATATAATATTTACTTGAGGGAAGGACATAACCTTTTAAGAAGTAAATCAAGTGTCTCAGGTGCTAAGAAAACATTTACTATTATCTTCTCCTTTTTGTTATTTATCGTCTGATTGATAAAATTCCAAGTCTTGAGTTATTTGCAACTCTTTCAATTATAAGTGCAGATATAGCATTTGAATTGCTATGAATATAGTGCTTGAAAATTTGCCCCAGAAACCAAAGACTCAGAATAGATATCTAGCATTATTTTCTGTTACATATTACAGAAAAGATGTGATCTGTTGACATAGACATGAGATTCTCCTTTTGGAATTCATTGGTATCAGACATAACAAGCCCCCAGAATCTAGAAAAGTAGACTAGGCTATACACATGCATATATACACAACTAAGGATGCAAATCAGGTTTCTCAATATGAAGAGCATCATGCCCAGGCCAATTCAAAATTCAACAAATGCTCAACCCCACCTAACACCAGTTGCACCCCTCTATGGAAGTTGGCAATATGCATGCATATGTGCTTGTTAACTCTGTACTTCACTAAATTTGAGAAAAAAGGACAACGTAACAGTTCAAAATCAGTGTTGTCAAAGTGTTAACTAGTTAACTGCATCACTAACTAGTTAGTCAGTGTTCATGTGGTTGCCTAGGGAAACTGAGCATCCACTAGATTAACCAGGTTATTTAACAACTAGTTGACCTAGTTAACCCCAAAATTATGTAAATTTTCATTTTCTTGTATTCAATAGTGTTCCCAACCTGTTGTTGACCCAAACAGTCAAACCAGTGATTGGTCACAATCATGGTTTGGGTCAACCTTTAACCCACTATGTTACAGAACCCATCAACCTAGTCAATGACCTGTTGTAGTGACCCACTCAGTGGGTTACCATGTCATCATGGGTCGACCTGTTGACACAGGCAAGAAAATGGTACAACCTCCAGGCTTGGTTTTAAAACATTGACCTTCCACTCTGATGATGTAAAATAATACCACGTGTCTTTATTTTGTTATAGGCATACTTGTTGCTTTAATATTGGTACATGGCTGAGTGATGGTATGTAAAATACAAATAAGACAGCAGTGTGATTGTATGGAATTGCCACAACCACAGAGTTCTAGCCTGCCTTTTTTCCTTTTTTTATGTTGTTAATTAAAAGACTATTAAACTACATTTTTTTATTGGAAATGGTAACTTTCATTAAAATAACAGTTAAATACAATAGTGTCAACCACTCAGAGCATGAGTGTTGACCCCATACAAATCTCAAATCTTACAATGCAGCCCAAACCAAGCTTTCCCTGAGAGTCCCCTGCTTTGCCAAATTGTCAGCCCACAGAATTGTCTGATCTCCTCGCCCATTTGAAAATTACTCCCACTTCCCTTGCTAGGCAAAGTATTTCCCCCATCTGTTGTCTAAGGGTCCATACGCCCAAGCTTTTTGTCTGCAGCCATCCTATTAGAAGTTTAGAGTCTCCCTCTACCTCAAGGTTTTGATATCCCCATTGCTTGGCCAAGCTCATACCTTGAAGTAGAGACATAACTTCAGCCCTTAAGGAATCTCCCACACCTATTGGCCCAGAATAAAGTGCTTGCATCCTGCCTTCCCCATCCCTGAAAACTCCTCCAAGGGCCCTGGGTTTCCCAATGAGCTTCCATCGAAATTCAATTTTACTCTTTGTTGTGCTGCATGTGTCCAAAGGGGCTGAACCACTGCAGGTGTTGACTAGACAGAATCTAGGGAGGCCAAATCGATTAATCACCACATCACTGCATTGGCAACACTTATCATAATTAAAATGTGTATCACACCTTTATGTACATTTGATTTTATAAGTAAATAAAGGTAAAAATGTTTATATGTGCCTGGTTGTGCGCGAGACTTGTCTTGATATGGGTGTCTTGTGAACAAATGTCTGGCTACAGGAAGAAGTGTCCAACATCTGATAGCAGAAAACAAATACATGGGTGCTTGTGAAAGAAAAAAGGGTACTTGTTTTGACCATAGTTATAAAAAGCATACTGCTAGTTAAGTAGTTAGCCTGTTCCATGCAGATTCAAGACTCATATTGTACTTCTAAATGAAGACAAATGCTAACTTCGTAGGCCCTGTCCTCTAAGGAGCCCTGCATCACAAAATAGCAAAACTAAACACCCACAACCTATATATATGCACAAAATTCACAGTTTACATTTTGTCTTTGGTGATATTTAGGTCTATGATGTTCCTTAACAGTGATGCTAGCATTTGTCTTTAATGAAATTTATGTCATTATTACTATGCAACTTAGTGGGTACATGAGAAATTCTCTTAGTCAGGACTCAGGATATTGTAACTGTTGAACCAGTCATCTGCAATAGAAATAGAAAAAGCTAATCTTGGTTAGGAATGAAATACATAGATTAGAAAGAGGTGGCTCCAGTCATGACTTTCAAGTTATGATACATTGAAAAGTTTAAAAATTTTCTGTATCAAGGATTTACCCTGGTCGAGAATAGGAGTTTGTAAAGGAATTCAAGCGAGTTTTGAGGATTTTCTGTTCTCTGCTTTTTCCTCTGGCAAAAAAAAAAAATCATCTCAGTTTTTTGGAATGGAATTACCTTGTTAGTTTCCTTATCACAGATTAATTTTGCAGGTTGTTACTAGTTTGGCTGATCCTTCTGCCAACATAATATTTGGCACTGTTGTTGATGAATGATGATCGTTACAGTGGCAAGATTCAAGTGACAATTATTGCCACAGGGTTCTCACAATCATTTCAGAAGACACTGTTGACAGACCCAAAGGCAGCCAAGCTGGATTGGTAGAGAAAATGGAATTAAGCCAGGAAAGTAAAGGACTTCCCCTCCCTCTGTAGGCTTCCACCTCATCATCCACAGATCCATTATGGCCTCCATGAAAGCTGTTCTCCTAGCCTTCACTATCTTTCTGTTTCCTGTATGGGTGGGTGTCCTTGTTCACGTAATGCTCTTGTTTTTCTTTTTCTTTTTTTTTCTGAGTTAGCATTTATTTGTTTGTGACCATTTTCGTTGTATTCCTGTCAATAGTAATATAGATACGACTGAAGCAAGGGCAACAAAAGGCATGAGAGTACAAGGTGTACACTGCAACAGCATAAAGTTGCAACCCAAAGCTACCACAGTGAACGATCTTAGCTGCTGGCCTGCTGACAATCTTCGCCCCATGTTCAAATTTCTAAAGGGTGAAAAGTAGCAAACAGGGCGGGGTGGAAGTGTGGAACTTTTGAGTTCAGTACCCTAAAAGATAAGGTAGTTCCCATGAAAGGCATGTCCAGTTTTGGTTTGTGGTTTATCCGTCCATGTATCCCTTCCCGTGAAAGACATTTCCAGTATTGGCTTGGCTTTAAATAGGGGTGAGGAAGAAAACCAAAAAGCTGAACTGGTCGAAACCGGACTGAAATTCGGTTAACCAAACTGGTCGGTTTGGTTTCGGTTCAATATTTAAAAAAACCAAAGGTACCGGTTCAATTTTGGTTAACCAAAATGGAAAACCGGCAGTTAACCGAACTGATTGGTATGCATATATTTATATATATTTTATGTATATTTATATATATTTTATATTTTTTATACATTATAAATTAATAAATATGCATTATATATATATATAAATTTATAATATATTATTTATTATTTAAAATATTATAATATATATCTAATATTTTATTATAGATTTATAGATTTTTCTATAATAAATTTTGTAAATAATAAAAAAACAAAAAACTGACGAACCAAATCAATGATTAACCATACCGGAAGCACCCCTAACTGTCAATGTTCAGTGTCAACCCAACAAAACCTGAACTGACCCGACCCTGTTACACTGAGCATGGGTCTACATTTTGAGTTACCATTATTATGAGATTGGGATTGGTTTTACTTTTACCTATTCTGACCAAGATTCCAACCAAAATTAACTATATGTTAGATGAGTCGGAACCTGCTGCACTTTTATTTGAGATTACCTTGTTACAGACTGAATAGGAAGTACAGGATTAGTGCAGCAAATCCTGACTCTTGTTATACAAAGGGATTCATTGAACTCACCTTCTCATGCCAGTCTTGGGGTCTTGATAGGTGGAATGGATATGGACCTAACCCTTGCCAATTTTTTGTACGCTCTCAGGATTCATTGAACTCACCTTCTCATGCTTGTCATCTAGAAATTTTGCCATTGCACCTATCTATGGTAAATATGTTTTCATCTTTTATGCATATTTCTTACCTACAATAAATTAATATAAGATGTCTAAAATTTATCATTTTTGGGATATATTTTGATAAGAGAGGGCATGCGAATTACCAATTTTATTGTCAAAATACTAAAGCAAATGCTTGTCAAGTATAATTGGGTTTTAATGGGTTAAAGTTATAACCTGGTTAACGATAGGGTTGGTTCTGGGTCTAATACTTGTATACATACCTTACAGGGTTTGGATTTAGGGATAACCCAATTGTTGAGATGGTCCCTTGGCACCCTTCCAAATAGGAGATGTAGGTAAGGGTGTCAATGGACCGGTTTTGGGTTGGACCCCGTCCAATCCAAAATCAATTTGGATGGATTGGACGGACCAACAAGACATATTGGATTGGATCAATTCGGTTCAAAATATTTATTAGATTGGATTGGACTTGGTCCGTCTGTAACAAATTTATAATGGATTGGATTGGATTGGATTAAGCCAATATACGGTCCATTGATATAAGATAAGAATATATGTGTCAATGGACCGGATTTGAGTTGAAACCAATCCAAATCAAAATGAATTTGAACAGATTGGACGGTCCAGACATTGAATTGGACCAGTCCAAATTGGTCCAGAACATTTATTGGATCAAATTGGACCTGATCCATTTATAATAAACTCACAATGGACCGAATCGGATTGGACCAAATCCAATTCAATTAACACCCTACGTGTAGAATTAAACCCACTAAACTGCAGGCTCAACGCCGTATGGTCAGTGCCTCAGTGGGCCTCATAACCTTGCTCTGCCCCATCCCTTATTGCTGTTGAGGCAAATCAGCAACACCATAAAACACAATTATACCAAATGCCTAAACAGAATTAATATTAAAACCAAATTGAAGCTCATCATCTAGTAGGTCAAGTTTCAACTAAGCAACCTAATTGATTCACCTTTATGTAAAAAAAAAAAAAATACAAAAATAGGTTTAGAAAACATGTAATAAAACGATATTTCCAAAGTCGATCTTTAGGAATGGATCGCAATGTTCCTAAAAGAAAATTTATTGGATAACATCTTAATTATCTATGAATTTTTCTCTAATTTCAAGAAGATGAAAGCAACCTTTGGTTGGACATGTGCCAAAATTAGACATGGAAAAGGTTTATAATATTAATATGTTGGAATGGTCTTCTATTAAAGTAGTTATGGATAAATTTGGCTTTTCTCAGAAATGACAAGAATGGATAATATAGTGTAGCTCAATTATCTCTTTCTAAATCTTCATTAGTGGAATTCCCTTCAAGCCATTCACCCCTTCAAATGGGATTAGGTGGACAGACCCTCTGCCCATTTCTTTATCACTTTTATTGAGACCCTTGCTAGAATAATACACCAGTTTCCAAATAAATCCAAAAAAGAATTAGCTTTGAATTGTCTAGACATTTATTTTACATCTTCAATTGGCCAATGGTTGCCTATTTCTTTAAAAATTCTCTATTTCAGATTGTAAAACCAAATTGGTATATGCTCCTCACAGCTACATCCCATCCCATCGTGTATAGGGGACATCTCCCATGAATGATAACATGCAAGTAAGGAAGATATTTTCAATGTGCGGTTGATACATGATGTGAGGCCAGTGTGTGGAGTGCTCTATGAGGAGCAGATCTGAACTATTATGAGGCATTAGCCAAATTTGCAAGCTCGAATAAATGTTCAATTATGGTCATGGTTTGAAGTATCGGTACATATCAATTGATACATAACAACTTCCAGTGGTACTAGACCTGTTTATGGGCCGGGCTTTGTATATGTATCAAAAGAATATATTCAGGCTTGAGCAAGAGCCCGGTCCTCATATAACCCCTAAACAAAAATTCTTTTCTTTTTTTTATTCAATTAAAAAATGTTTTATTTATATTAAAAACTTTCAAAACTCAAAAATAATAAACATCTCACCATTACTTGAAAAAGAAAAGAGAAGACCAAAGAAAAAACATTGTATATATTTTTTATTAAATAAAATATATTTTTTATTATTTAATATATAGTATCAAGTCAGGCTTAGTTTCAAGCTGGGACCAAGCTCGACTAGTGTTTTAGGCCCGAAAAAAGTCAGGCCTAGTGTTTTAGGCCCGAGCCCGATCTTGCGGGTCTAAAATTATGACCAAGCTCGACTTAGAATGGGCCAAGCCGGGATAGCCCTTCAAGCTACCCAGTCTATGAACAAGTCTAATAGATGCACAACATGGGAGGAATGGCTAAAACTCAACATTATTCCACTTGTATTCACAATATCGCTTAATACAAGCACAATATCTGTCTATATTGTTTTTATATTGGTTGATACATTCAATTTGTTTGTTACGTTTGTTTTAGGCTCCTTATTAATTTCCTTGTTTAACTTCATCACTTCCTTTATATTTTTTTTATCAATAACAAGAACAATTCATCAATATAAAAGCTTAAAATACAAGGGAGAGGAGATAAACTATCTTAATTCTCCAATGGTGAATATAAAGACACCCAAAAAGAAAGAAAAAACAATTACAAGTGAGCCTAGAAGGCAAAATCCCTATTCACCCCTTGCCTAGCTAACCCATCTGTAAAGGAATTTGCTCTTCTCTTTACCCAAGTATATTTTACATCAATTTCCTTTGTTAGCTACTTAAGCTTTATCTTTTTGTTGTTGTAATTCCAAAGCCCATTCTTGCATTCCCTTAACCAGCCCACTATTCTTAGTATCTCCTTCTATGACCAACTTATTGATATTCAGGTCCTTAGCTCTTGTTACCCCTTTCAATGCTGCCATTACCTCAGCCCTAAGAGAGCCTCTCACTCCAATTGGGCCAGAAAACATAATTATTACATTCCTTTGTTCATTCCTTAGAACTCCCCCAATGCTAGAGGGCCTTGGACTGAATTCACAATGTCTTTCCAACTTCATAGTAAATCATCCACTGAGAAGTTCGTAAACAACTCCAAAGATTTCAACCAATGTATTACCCTTATATGGATCGCTTCTAACACATTTTCTAAGCTTCTCTCCTTATCAAAAAGGAGATGAATCATTTCCAAAGAAGAAGCAAAGAAGCTTTACACATCCTATAGGAGATTCCATTTGCACCCAAACAAAGAAATGAATCATTTCCAAATGCTTTTACAAATTGGTAGGATATTGATAAGTAGTAACCAAACTCACCATCAACCTTATAAGAACACACCAATGAGGAGATAAACATCTACTGGGTCTCTTTCTTTGAAGCAAATAATCTGTGCTGAATCTTTCCAGAAAAGCTTCCTAACAAAAACCCCCAACCCTTGGAGAGATAGGTCGACACCAAATTTCTTTAATAGGGATGACAAACCAAAAGGGTCAATTGGTTGAGTTAGGGCTTTAAAGAAGAAGACACAAGTGAAGGAACCTGAAGGAAAAGGTATCCAAATTCTGTTATCTATCTTTGTGGGGTCCGAGAAAATCCCATCAAGCCCAAAAGAGCCAAAGTATTGTCTAATTCTGTGTCTCTAATAACTCCTCACAAACCTAAGTTCCATCCAAACCCAAAAGTCAAGTTAGAGGGTCCAAGGAAAGTGGAAATAGGTTCATTTTTTAAGTTAGAAATGGAAAATAGACTTAGAAATTAGTTTTTCAAAGGGGAATCTTCAACACAAACTTGTTCCCCAAAACTTGACGAGATTACCTAAGTGTAGGTCATACCTAATCCAGGGTGAAAACAAAGGCAAAATAGCTTGGATTACTTTCTAAGGTAAAGCTTTTACAGTCCTAGCGAGAATCCCAAAATCTCATCCATTATCTATAGGCCCATGAATACTAGCTATTGCCTTAGCCCACAACTTTACTTTTTCTAGGGGGAACCTCCACAACCACTTTCCTAATAGAGCCAAGTTTCTCTTACTAACATTCTCAATGACAAGACCTCCAAAGTTCTTACTTCTACTCACTACCACCCACCTGACCCTGTGATCCTTTTTCTCCTTCATTGATTCCCAAAGAAAGTCTTTCATTAATTTTTCCAATTTGCTAGTCATCCCTATTGGGATTTTAAAAATCGACATAAAAATAAACACGCAAGTTAACTAGTATAGTCCTAATTAGGGTGATTCTTCCTCCAAGAGATAAGTAATTTTTCTTCCAAGAGGCGAGTCCCTTTTCAAATATCTCCATGATTGGAACCCATAAACTTCCCTTTTGAGGATTAACCCCTAAGGGATGACCTAAGTAATTCAGAGGCCAATTAGATATTACACATT